CCAATTACGGCCTATTTTGTTTTTTCTGTATACATTTTTCTATGCATTGTCATTGTTCTTTCTTGTGTGCTTATAGTTGGGGTTTTGAAACATGGGAATCTTACGTGGCATATCATTGGGCCCATACCCTTCCTCATAGAATTGCACAGTACAAGCAAATTCCCCCGGAAGAGAAGCAAAAGGCACACTAAAATAAGTTGTGGCTTATATTAGAATGTTAATCAGAAATGACAGCGAGAGTCCTTAATGCAACAAAATGGTTTACTCGGTTTGTGGTTTGATTTTACACTGCTCTCGTTAAGTTATGTTTAGTATGTTGGATTCGACTATATATGGTAAACAATATTAATGTATGATATCATACACAATTCGAATTTGGGGGCGGTCACAAATTTACATATCCTTTCACTCGATGAATGATGACAGAGAATAAGACGCATAAAGGGTAAGGTTTTTATCCTCATGATTATTGTATTTTAAGTAATAATTTTTAATGCCAATACTTGTGACTCTTCATACCTCATCCAACATGTGCAAACACGGCAAGTAGTTCAATTATGATTTTCATTCCCTCTTTGATTGCCTTTTCTTTTGTCTGCAACAAAATGGAGATTGATATAATTCGCCCATATTCTTTTTCAACTGATTGAACACTAGTTCTTTTACTCCTCTGATCTCATGGGTCATGTGCATGTTAACTAAATATTACCACTGAAGTTGGGATATTCAGTATCTGGTAGATATAATCTACTTTGGTACCATCCGGTTTTTTTATATGTTTTAGAAAAATACAAATCATAACAGTACAAAAAAATTTCTAGCAACAATTTCATACTTTATGTTTCAGGTGAAAAAATGTCAATTATTTTTAATACGTACTGATTTTTACTTTTCATCATGCATTTCTTTTGCAAGCTATTTCTACTTTTGTTGACCTCTGCATTTGTTCCATTTTTGTTCATGGTCATACATTTAAAGAGATGCTGATGTTTCTCAAGAATCTGCTGATATTCAAGTATATTTTGCCATCCACATATTCCGAAAATATAAAATTCTTTTGATTTCTACTGCTGATTATGATAATTTTATGCTGACAGGCTAGTATTGACACACTACAATATCTTCCTAAAGCTAGAATCTTCGATTTGTTTAATAGGAAATACACCCGTGCTGTCATTGTAAGTAGCTTTTCTGTTGTTCTTAATTAGCTTTACCATATTGTTTACAAGTACTTATTTGGGTTCGTTCTTTTCCTGTTCAGATTGGAGTTGGATTAATGGTGTTCCAACAGTTTGGAGGAATAAATGGAATCGGTTTCTATGCAAGTGAAACGTTTGTGGCTGCCGGATTTTCTTCAGGGAAATTTGGAACAATTGATTATGCTATAATTCAGGTTTGTTAGAGGAAAAAAGAGATACGGAAGAGAAAGGAAAACGAAAGGAAAGTGATTCATGAACTTGTTCCACCTATGTAATCGATTAGAAGACTTAGCTTATAGTTGTCTGTTTATGTAATCCAAACTAAAGTTGAAGGTGAATAGTGCTCATGGGGTCTCTTTGTAAATTGCACTAGAGTTTTCACAATCTTCTTTAAACGTATGTATTAGTTTTCTACATTGGTCAATGACAGAAATTTCTATGGTGATGCCCTTTGAATTATGTTGTTTAAAATGATTTCTTTTATGTTAGTGTGTGCAGGCGTGTATCTCTGTAATATGAAGTCGTAAATGAATTTTATTTTTCCTTCACGAACTTGGGACTTACGTTGCAACCAAAGAGCATTAGTTTTGATGCTAGTCAAACAGTTCAAATGGGACGAGTCCGATATCAAATTGCTACTACTCTAGATGTCATACATAATTCCGTGGATTTATTTACACTTATACTTCTAATCATATAGATTGAATTNTCATCGTATCTTCATCAAATGTAATGTAGGTTGTGTTTTTAATATCTTGAAAAAGAAATTTACGTTTCACCAATTTTAAATTCTATATGTTATTTAATACTATATTAACATTATACAATTAAAATTTATTGAATACTCATTTTTTTGGATAAAATATTCTCAAAAAATTCTCAAAATTTCAAAGTAAACGCGTTTTCCATTTTTATGTTTTCGGAAACAGTTTTTCAGAATAACAAAAAGAACTCATTTTCAGAAATTTCAAAATAGACACTCAAAACACAAAATACAAAACGAATTCAAAACACAAAACACAAAATTGAAACACGAAGAGAACGGCCTTAAGTTCGACCCGTACATAAATATACAACTCAACTTTGGACGACTATTGTTATATCTATAAATTATGTAGCATGCACATGACGAAGGAGGTCTCACATTGGCCAACTCAGCACCTATCATTCAATTGAATTGAACTTATTTTATCAAGCAATAATGTCTTGGGCTTGGGCCCAACCCATTAGCCTTGCTTGGCCCATTTCCATATCTTTCCTATATATAGGTAAGTCGATTTACAATCAATGTAATGTTTATTCTAAACCTAACCAAATCCCGTTTCGCATCTCTTACACTCATTTCTTTCTCTTTCGATCGTTGACTTGATCTTCAGAGTGTAAATGGTTGTCGGACATTCTTCTCGACCGACGCCATTTGCTTTCTAACGGTGTGTTCCAATGTTCAGGAAATGTCTAAATGGAGGGAATGTGTTTGAAATTCTGTTGGAGCAAAAATTGAGGTCAACATTATATTTTATATTTAGGGTTTTGGATAGTTTTTCCAAATCAAAATTTAAGGAAAATGTATTTTGGTATAGTACTTTTTTTTAAAAAAGATTTTGTGGTTAAAATGAATGAAATTTTTTAAATTTACGTGTAATATTATTTTATTAAAAATGTATGGTTGAAAAGTGAAATATACCATTTTGATTAAAATGGAGCCCAAATAGGGGTTTAATCTGAATGAGGATTGACTATTGTAACCAGTTCGTCGACAGTTGAATAAATGTAGAGAGAAGGTTAGCTTGATAATAATTTAACTTACATGCACCAATTTCAAAATACTCTAAACATACAAGACTTGACACTGAAAATGTGTTTTACGAAATATTGTATCAATACTACATTCACCTGCGACACCATGTCCCTTCACATGTTGACTCGACCCACTCAATCAATAGTATGAAGACATATGTCTCTCAGTAAGATCATGTCCATAAAATTATTGGGTGTCAGAAATGAATACTTGCAGTCAGGGACGGATGGAGGGGGGCTGTACTGAATTTTTTTAGTTAGAAAAAACATTATGTAAAAAAAAATCATGTGTAATTTTATTTTATTTTACGTATTAGCTCGACCTGTAATCTGGTCCTCAATCCGTCCCTACTTGCAGTTACAATATAAATGAAAAACAATTCTAATAGATAGGGGTAAACGACAAAAAAGTAAATTATTTCCTTGAACAAATCATACTGTTCCCATTTCATCCTAGTCATCTACAAAACTCTAGCATTAAAGCAATTGTAGTAGTAAAAATGGTGATCATTCTTTCTTTTGTAGGCATTCCTATTAACCTTTTTCTAATCCCGAATAGAAAGAAGAGGAAAGAAAAGAGTCAAATAATAAGGTAAATCTCTCGCGAGTTGCGAGAGTAATTAAACAATCGACTTGTGTCAACAAGATGGTGTCATTTAGGGGTGTTCAAAAGTTTCGAACCGAACCAGACCGAATCGAGCGGTTCTTCATAAGTTAAATATTCAAACGGGTACCCGAATCGAGAATCGATGAGTTTAGGTCGGGTATCAGGTCTAGACCAAGAACCGAAAAATCAAAACTAAATAATTTTTTTTATTTTTTATATGGAATTAATTAAATTATTTTATTTTTTTCTAAACAAATTAGCAAATTAATTTAATAAATCAGATTATCAAATCATTTTTAAAGCCCATTAGCCCA